TTCTGTTCGTTTCTTCAGTTTGCTTCAATTGTTTATATGACACAAAATATTAAATTTAAATTTTCTTGAATTATTTTTAAATTTGTATTTTTCCCTATTTTAGTCTTATTTTCTGCAACTTGCTATCACTGTCATAACTATGTTAAGCAAAAAATTAAATTATTATTATTTTGTTTAACTCAAAAGTTTTTTCTCCCTTTAGTCCTAGAATGTTATATTTTTATTATTTTTTTTTTCTCGCAGCTGCCTTTCTGACTATCTCTCAATCTATTTTATCCTCTTTCTCCGTGTGCTATTTTTTTAACTAATACCTATACTTTTCTCAAGATTATGCCTGCATATACCTCCCTTTCCCTCCTCTCGCTCTCGCATTTATTATTTTACTTCACGTTGAATTATTTGTTCGCTGTTTCTCGATCTACATATCTCTCTCTCAGTTTCTGTTGAATTATTTTTTAATTATTTTACTCACTCACCTTTGGTTTAGTTCTCCCTCTTAATAAATATTTATATTTATCTCCCTTCCTAACTTCATCTCTCTATCTGTTTCCACCCGTTTATATTTAAAAACATTTTCAAATTTGCAAAAACTGTTGCTTTGACCAAGCCCGATCAAGAGATGTACACGAGCATTACTTTGGTTCGAGGGACCACAGAGAAACATGAGGATTACTTATGTGCCATTTGGTATAACGATCGAGAAAGCTATGATGTAGTTTTGCAGTCTCAAAAGATTGTAAGTGTGTAACATGCGTCAATCAAGCGCTTCTATTTGCAGAAAAATATTTACCCAAAACGATTTCATGACGTTGGCAACTCTAACCAACAACCGGTATATAATTTCCTGAAAATATTTCTCCATATTCGAACAAAATCACTAACCAGAAGGCTAACACAAGAGAATGAGCAAGCTGTATGCGATAACAATGTGACGGAGAGTCACTGGGTGAGTATCTAGTATAGAGAGTGTGCGGGAAGCAACACAATACACGGTAGTAGTGGGTGAAGTGAGCGTGCAAGCAAGAGATGGGTGGCTATAAATGCACATATGCTTCACTAAGGTCAAGATCGTTCATTGACCAAAAGTTGGTCCAGCGCTGCTGCTGCTTGTGTGCTATAGCAAAGAGAAGTTAGTGCTGTTGCTGTTGTTATTGTAATCTGCTTCTCGCTACGATAGTGCAATGGCCATACAACCACACAAACGCGCAGACATCTTTGGCTGCTTCCTTTTCGGTGAAGTGATAAAGTTGCTGTTAGCTTTAGAGCGCTGCTCACATTGCTGTAATTGTCTTGTTGTTGTTTCTTACATTTACTGTCTGCGCTCGCGTTTCTTTTTACTGGATTTTCTTTTTTTTTTTGTAATTATTTTATAACATTTACTCGCTACATTTTGCTGGAATGACTTGACCAACAACAAACGCCTGCTGGCATTTAAATATCAGCGCGCGCATACCAACGACAACAGCAACAACGACAATAACAAAAACAATCAGCAAGTGTTAGCACGACAAAAATGTGCAATAATAACAACAACAAGCGCCATGAACACTGAGAAGATGCTCGAAGACAGAAAACGTACAAAAATATTTGTACATACATTTATAGATATGCACATATGTATGTATGCTTGTAATCACATGTGATCGTGTTGTATTTGCTGTTTGTGGTCATTAATCTCTGGTTTGTGGAACAGTAAACAACATGGAATTGCCACGAGGCTGTAATATGTAGTGCATGTACGTGTGTATGTACATTTGTATCTGAGTGAAAAAAAAAATTGTTTGTTGTTGTAAATTATGTACTCAGATTTTAATTTCCGCAACTTCTCAATTCACGAAATTGAACTTTGACCGCTCTATTCAATCGTTGTTTTTGATGCGTTGCGGCGTGAAGCCGAGCCCGAGACTTCAGCTTAGTTGCAATCGAGATGACAGCTACATACATACATACATATTTTCGACAAATACACGAAGATCAGTTAATCAAAAATAAGTAAATATTAACTGCGGTCAAGACAGTTCAAGCCTATAACTGTGCACTCGACTCAGTTCTTTCACTTTTGCCGAAGACTTAACATGAAATGTACGGACTTTACGAAATCGAGCCTCACACGACTTTGCAGTGATTATAATATTAAAAGCATTCCACTACTTTGCAGCAGTAGACTACATACGTTTTTTACACCCGCTCTATTTTTGAGTTTTTAAGTCAATAATTTCAAGGAGGAATAACAAATTTAGTGTAAAAAGGTCCCGAACTACAGCTCAGCAACGCAACTGGGAAACTCGAGCACTAAAAACTTAGATGTCTACTATAATTTTGGAGAAACTTAAAAGCTCATTAGTGTGGTCTAAAACTTTGAAAAAGATCACGGTCTCTTTTGCAAAAAAAAAAGATCAGAATTTAAAAAAAAAAACAGTGTTCAACCATTAACCCGAAAAAGCAATTTTAAGCGCAAAGCGCTCAAGTTAAAAGCTTTCAACACAATAGAACTTACTCACTTTGAAAGCAGCCGTTAGAGAAATTTTTACACTAAAGTAAACTTTTTTCCCATCTTAGTTTATGGATAACTCTAATTTCAAAAAATTCCAAAACCCCATTAATGTGGTCTAAAGCTTTGAAAAAGCTTTCAGGACATCTTTTGCAAATAAAGATCCAAATCTTAACAAAATAATAGTGTTGAGCCGTTAACCAGAAAAACCGACTTTTAAACGAAAAGCTCTCAAGTTGAAAGCTCTCAAGTCAGCAGCTCTCAGCTCTCAACACAATAGATCTTACTCACTTAGGAAGCAGCCGTCAAAGTCAAAGCTGTCAAGCTAAAAGCTCTCCCGAGACAAAAGCTTTCAAGTTAAAAGCTTTCAAGTCAAAAGCTTTCAAATGAAAAAAAAAATTTGAAAACAGCCGCTTCAAAAGTGAGTGAAAATAATGAAGATATTCGCTATATTTTAACATTTTTGTATAAAAAGGGAAGAATACCACCAAAGGGAAGCAAGCCACCAATGAAATTTATCAGCTGTATCAGTTCGTGCAGCAAAACAATGATTCGCTCGCATACGTGCTGAAAATTTCGATGTGAAAGATGCAACTCGCTCTGGTCGATCTATCGTTAAAAAAAGTCGATGAAACTTTGGAAAAGATTGACCAGGACTGTCACATAAGCGGCTCAAACGGTTTTCAACGATTTAAAAACGCTGGCTACGAAAAGAAGCTCGATGTTTGGTTACCACATGAATTGTCTGTGTAAAATTTAATAGACCGAATTAACATCGACGATTCTTTGCTGAAACGAAATGAAATCGAACCATTTCTGAAACGAATGGTAACAGGAGACGAAAGTGGATCAATTATGACAATAATGTGTGAAAAAGATCATAGTCCAAGCACGGTAAACCTCAACAAATAGTCGCAAACCCATTATTGACGCCTCGAAAGGTTATGCTGAGTGCTTGGTGGGATTGGAAACTATGAGTGGCTCCAGCCTGGTCGAACGATTGATTCTACATTTTACAATCAACAACTGATGAGATTGATCAATAAAAAGGGCTTCATCTTCCTTCAGACCGCACACACCATTGATGACTCGGCAAAAACTGCGACACCTTGGCTGGGAAATTTTGAATCATCCACCATATAGCCCCAATCTTGCGTCAGCGTACTAACTGGAAAATACTTTTTCAACTACCTAATAAATATAGGGAAAGATACAAGGACCATGCTGCGCTGTGAGTTGTGGATCAAGGCGTCAAAAATTCAATTAAATATATATGAAGAACAGAGAGGACTATATCGAAAACACTAGAACCAGCTGAAATCTCTAGTAGTTGCCATACAGCAGGTGGCATACAACAAAGTTCAATCACTTTTCAGACGATTACTCAACTTCGGGCACAAAGGCATAAACACATACATATACACATAAGTAGGTATGTACGTATGTATGTATGTATGTAGTATGTAATTCATGACCCGCCAAGCTTAAGTAAATAATCTACAACCATTGTGACTTCAATTTGTACAGAAATCTCGTTTAAGAGCAAATATACGCACAAAAAGCATCCGGTCATTCAATTTAAATTATACAGTACAACTGGCAATTGTTGCTACTGTTGCATGAACAAGAGATTTGTTGCATGCACTTACTTGTATATTATGTATGGTAGGTATGTACATATGTATGTAGTAAATAATATAGTAAAATTATTAATAATTATGCAATGTTGCATGTTAGTATACATGTAAGAGCATGGCATATATGTATCATATATTTATACATACATACGTATAGTTATGTATATGAACATACATATGTATGTACATACATATGTATGTACATATGTATGCCGGACACATCATGTCAACACACTCCAAACTGGCTGATATCTAGAGTGATAAGCTAAAATTGTTGTACAAATAAAGCTATTTGCTTAAGTACATACTAACATACATACATTTGTATGTAGCTATGTCACAACTATAAA